CTTGGATGTAGATTGAGAATCTCCTTCATAAATTATTGGAAACCAACCTGTCGAATTCACATTTTACTTGATCTTCAGTTTTTACTGAAGAAAATCCTTATACTACAGGAATTTGAGGAATTTTATTATAGAAATAGTATATAAGTGACTTGATTTCAGACAAACAAAATATAAATGACTTGATAGTTTTCTTCTTCTTTTTTTCCACTTGATAGTTTTCTTCTGGCTTTTAATTAATTTGCAAGAATTAATCATATGTAACTATTTTAGTTACAATTTTATGTAATTAGAACACATTTCTTGCAAGCACCCATACCCATGCATACACTTTGATACTAAAACTTCAATATACGGAGGAGCTCTTAACTACTGATTAGATCGAGACTACTTAAGAAAAAACCTCCGCACGGATGACTTATTTAAACAAAGGAGCATAGAGCGAGTTGTTAATTCAAACGTTATAAGTTTAAATTTATCTCATGAATATGTACGTACACAAAGACTAATTGTAGAGATTTTTTTAGGTTAATGATGAAAAGAGAATCGAGTTGAAGGTATGTTGAGAGTTATTTGAACGGTACATCAACCTATTGAATGTGAACATAAAATGTCAGTATCGTCGCTGAATGAGTGCATTTTTGACGCAATGAGTGGTGCATAATTATTTCGAGAGTCTACTAAACAATGTGATTGATCTAAATATGCATTTGATAAGTCATTTGTGGGTATTCGTACTCAATAATGTACTTTTGAAGGAGGTTCAAGCACCATTTAAAGTAGGGATTTTCCAAAAAGCAAAAGGGTTATTATCTATTAGGGGTTAAACTTCAGTTATATTTCTCTCACAAGAGATTGTGGAAGAAGCAAGAAAGTGTGGAGTGACATCCTGCAATAATTCACAAGCATTTGTACACAATGTCACTAAATATAATTCCAAAAAAGACCAAGCCAAGTCAAATTGTTCACTGTTAATATTCCTATATTGCTCATCAAAAAGGTCATAATACATGGGAAAATAAACAATATATATGTGTGTGTAATTATATATATAGTGATCATTTTTGTGAACACATGATATATTTACACTAAAGGAGAGGGGTAGGTTTAGCCTCACAATGGATTAGTAATAATGTGGTTCAAATTCACTTTTAGCGAAAATTGAACCTAAGACCTCTCGTTTACAAGTGAAGATGAATACCCCTTGAGGTAGAGAAGGTCGGGGTATGTAGCAATCTCTCATATATTCAAGAAACAATAGGGGGTCGGGGGTCCTCCCCCTCCCCTCCCCTCTCTTCAATTCTTTTGTTTTGTGTTTGATGAGGGGCACCCTCATATAATTTGGTATTGGAGATAAGATTGAACCCCACTTTGGATGTCATGGTTTGTACATTCAAAAAGGTATTTGAAGGGAAAAGTTTCAACTCCTTGGAAAGCTCAAGAAATGGTAGTACCTATCCACAAAATCCACAAAATCCACACATTCCACAACCCATCAATCATGATTTAAGCTATTGGCCACTACCATCCATCTCGATTCTATTTGGCTTTCCATATATTAATCATAAAAACCATTCAATTCTCATTAATTTTTACTGTGGTAAATCTTACTAAGTTTGAAAATGTGGTATAAATATGTAGTGAAATTATTATAATACTTGTGTTCAAGGCTCCAATATAATTTTTTTATCAAAAGGGGAGGAGGGGTTTCAATTTAGATAATTTTTTTTTACGGTTCAAAGAAGAAATACCACCAAACTAAGAGTGAGTTCATATTAAGACTTAGAGGTTGTTCGGGATTAGCATAGGAAACACTTTTATTCACAAGTGCTTCTACTTGAAGTTCCTTTATTAAGATTACGTCAAATTTTTTTTATTGAAAATCCAAGTTATTCATGAAAGAAAACACTTTTTATGACCATAGGCACATTTAAGTTTTTACAGTCAAATGTAACATAAGCACTTTCAATTGTTAGAAAGCATTTTTAGCTTCTCTAAAAACAAGATTGGCCATTGTTATTCATTCACTTTTGTCTAACAACAATTCTTAGAAGCATATAGCAAAAACTCATCAAAATACAAGTGCTTGCATATTGATTTGGCTAACATCTTTTTTGAAAATAACAAATGAGAGATAGATGTTTTAAAGAACACACTAAAGACTATGTTTGGGGGGGATTCTTAAAGGATTGAGGCCAATACAGTATGGCATGGACTATAAAATGTTAGACAGAGGAGATTAGAAATGTCCTTCATGAGCATTCAACATTACAAGAACATGTGAGAGAGATTTGGAAATGACTACTTGAAATAAGTCGTTTACAAGTCATCATACATGTCTTCTATTCATTATATAATACATTTCTAATCTCTTTTCGTGTTTCATTTTGTACGCGGAAAATAATTTATGAAATCATTTCCGATGTTCCTCAATCAAACATGGCCTAAAACAATTCTTTTTGCCCCAAAAGGCACTGAAAAATGCTTAAAAAACGCTTCATAAAGTTCATAAAAAATTCCCAACTAGATGAAAGGGATTATCCATATCCCATAGGTGCTTGCTTACACACAATTATCATTCTCGGCAATTCGAATTCCAATCAACTGGTTAAGGACGTGGCCACTGGCATTGCAAATGGACCAATTGGATCAACATAAATGGGTCACTGGAGGAGGGATTCTCTCTTACAACTTGTAACACTGCGCGACAACCGTTTAATGGAACGACGGATATACTATTTGAATACGTAACTATCATGTATGTCTTCGGTATTGCCACTAAAACAACATATTAATTGCAAGACAGTTTCTCTCTTGCCCATGGGATCATTAACAGTGACGTTCTCGTGGGGTCAAATGGTCTTCAAATAGGTCCATCTTGTAGCCTTAATCAAACTTTTCAAAGGGCGGTTCGATGAGTTTGACGAGATAGATTTGCCAACTTGTGGAATATATTAGATGAGGCCCAGGCCTTTTTAGATGCATGATTTGAAAGAGAGGGAGGGAATCTTCTAATCATTTCTCCTCTAGAATGCTTTTTAAATATTTCCCTACCTCTACTTCTTTGGGATCTTTCTCATATTTTGGCGATGTGTAACATGCCACTTGAACGATAAACCTTTTATCTCCGAGATATATCCTCTTGTGTATACAACCGGTTGCAGCATAGTCTCTTTTTTGTTTTTGGGTTGGACTAAGGGCAAATTGTCACTAGAGTCATAATCTCCTTTGATATGAGCGGTGATATTCACACCTCCTTTTACATTCTACAAAAATTCCTCTCAAATTCTGATCGTGAGATCGAACGAATTAAAAAAGATCAAATGACATAATTTAACAAAGGATGTGTGAAATATAAAAGCGTGGATAACATCACCCTTGAACAGTTAGTTTTGGATTAGTTGAATGTATATACACGACAGCGAAAAATCCTATTTTGCTTCGGTCTATAACGTGCACAAGAACAATGGATAGTTGGATCTAACAAATAGTATGCTAGTGCATACTCTACGCCGGTACATATTAGAAAAGAAATGGTGAGTGGGGTGGTCACCTTCCATCAAATTGGCATTTGAAAGATAAAGAAGCGTCAGGCTTCAGTTTTTTCAGCTGGTCAAAAGAACCTTGAAAAGAAATTTGAGTTTGGAGTTTCTTTTTTGAATTTTTTTCACGGTGGATCCCAATTTGGTCATGAATAATGATCACACTACTACTACTACTACCACCCTAAAATCTAAGGAATATAATGAAGAAAAGGCCTACAAATTAAAGGCAGGAAGCTTTAAAGCATTTTTAAAGTGTTTACGCTTGGAAATGTCTCAATAATTCATTGTCCACTATTTCATGTTACATTCATGTACCCATAAAAGTTTCTGCCAAATAAGTCTCCAACTTTTGAAAAGCAAGAGTAAGTTAAATAATTGAGAAGAAGCATGCGTTAAACAAACATAAAACAAATAAAAAGTTCAGGATTTTAAGAAGGGTTTTAAAATTTCTGAGGAGCAAAAAGAACTTTGTTTTAATAATGGTGATATTCTGATTCTAAACTACATTAAGATGAGACGGCTAGATTGAGCCTGAGAAGCGGTAGGTTGAAGAGGAAGGTCCTAACCAACAGGGCTATCGACCGCTTGCAACAATTGTATTAATTATGCAGTTCCAACGTGCAAACTGAAGCTAGAAAGATTAAGACTCCAATTTAACCACTGTGTACTTGTAGATATCAAGGGCAAAATATTTGTTCGCCAATTATGAAAACAGTACAACTTTTTGATCCACTAACAAAAGCAATTTCTATCTTTGCATGCGACAAACTGTCACACTTCGAACTCCTACCACAGAAATGCGGCCAAGCCCGCATGAAGGGTGGCCGTGTCCAATGATGGCCACCACATATAAGCCTCGACAAACTTTTGTGAGGAGACAACAGAAAAGTTGAAACTCTCTCACAGTTTCTGTCGCCGCCCATGCTTGCCTTATCCTAGAATTGCTACATAAGACATGGTGGACGTAGTCCACCAACTTGCGCGAGAGCTCACAGTTCCAGTAACTCCGATGACAGTGACAATTTACCCTATACTTAAGTTCGAATCTCTTCTTTCCCCTTTGGCCTCCTTTATATGGAAAAAAAAAAAGGTTCCACCAAGCATTCGGATACCGTTCCTGCATTCAAGTGCAGGATCGCCCCTTTAATTTTCATGTAAAAGGAACAAAAAGTTGAGCTACGGCTTAAACTGATCCAAAGTTTACATGTACTATCAAGAGGAAACATGAACTTTAGCTAGGACTGGAAGATTTAGGGATTATCTGAAGAACATAAACTGAGCTGTTTCTTCCAATCATATTCATTGTTACAAAGAAAGTTTGCAATTGGGTGGCCGTTTTGACACTAAATGGCTGCCAAAGCAATGACATAATCTCAAAGATTTTGACACCAATTTCGATACTGACCCCGTAACAAATCTATTTCACTATCAAGGGAAGCACTATGCTAAATCATGGTATAACAATCCAAAAATATTCAATTGCATATGGATTTTGCATTGCAAGTGACAACTGACAAGCTATACTCCGTTGGCAAACAATTCTCCAACCCAAGTTTCATGTTTAATATATTCAAGCGTTCATGTTGGTTTCTAATATAAGGAGAACAATAATAAACTAACAGGGGTAGTAATTATGTAATATACAATACCCTGAATGATGGAACTTCACAATGAAGATGATGACAGTAGTTGTCATGGCGCCAACCGCTCAATTTTCCACACTTGTTGTCCATTGATCTCTTCAGGAGAATATCGCAGCCTATCAAGAAGAAAAAACATGAAAAATTTGAGCTACGTTCTGTTCCTTTCAGTAGCACATCAATATAGTTAACTCTTGTTCCATCACATCATTATTTAAAACAGAGCTAAGACAAATTCTTTTTGTAATTCCTTTGTCAGCCCATAACTGCTCCATGCATTTGTTACAGGCTATCTTTCGACACTCAAGCAAAAGAAATGGAAAAAGAACGAGCCATCATAAAGTGCATAGAAACCACCTGTCATGCAAACGAGATTTTTGGCCTTGCCAAAACTCAAACAGCTCTGGCTTAAGTCTGTATCCTCCCCAGTTTTTAGGTTTTGGAATTAAACTTCTGCACCAAGAAAAAACAAGTGGAATCTAATTTCAGAGTACATACATAGAATGCAAATTAGTTTCCAATCTATTTTTAGGTTGTTCGGACAGGAATCTAAACTTATTGCAAACAGCAGCACCTATGATCCATCCGGCACATAAGATGGTGATAGGGGACTGGAGCAAGCACAATTATAACTGAAAATTACATAAAGCTATTAGATATCTGTATTACTTACCCATCAGAGAATTTTTCTTCTAGTTCTTTGTATTGGTCATACAGAACATGCCTTCCGGGAACAACAGTGCTCTGGAATAAGAATATACCAATTGTTTATATTCCTTACAGAAAATTAATAGTATCAGTAAAATAGGGAGAGAAAATGGAATAATAGTACGAACAATAATCAAACTGTAAATCTTTCACCTTTTACTTCCCATAAATTGAATAATCTTTTCTACTTTTCAAGTAATTTTATAATATAGAGTTGGTTTGGTATTGCTGTGCTTTGAAAAAAAATTGCTTTTGCTGTGTTGTGAGAATAAGCTCATTTTTGCTGCTTCACGTTTTCAGTTTTTTTTCACCCAAAACTGTGAAAATAAGCTGTTTTTAAGTGTTTATTAAACACCGTTTTGAGCTCAGCTTTTTTTTGATACCCACTTTTTATAAAAGCATCTCAGTACCAAACCAGTACATAGTCTTGCTGATAGGTTTAAAATTCCACCAAACAACGAATCTACCACTGGCCATGCAATTACACTAATTTGGTTTGATAATGTAAGGTAAATTTATATTGGAAAATGGAAAACAAAAAATGAAGAAACTTACAGAAGAGTCTCGGTGAAAGAAGTTACTTACTCCCTTATTTAAATAATGTTGGAAAATTATTTCCTTACACCCCTTTTTCTCCTTCTGCACACCTGTGTTACAATTTGAATTGTTTGGATCATTTGATGAATTGGGTTTTTTTCTTTCTTTGTTTTGGGTTTTAATGAATTCAGTTGGAAGAATTGCCACCTAATTATGTTTTGGTTTTGAACTCAAATTTCTCCTACCCAAAAGGGAATCAAAGAAACATGAAGAGAGCAGCAGCAGAGAGACAAAATTTGCAGCCAAAATCGTTTTACATGCCTGCAAGTCTGTGAGATGTGGGTTAGCAGTGGAGGCAAAATGAGAGTTCTCCGTTTTGCCAATGTGAAACAGAAAGAGGTGGAATGGGTTAACAGATGGAAAGTGACTAATTTAGCCTTGTACGTGAGACTCACTGGGGAGCATATCGACGACGACTTAACAAAAATTTTAATTTGGGGCTCAATTCCTAACAGTTCTCACCACAATGGTTTAATTCCTAACTTATTTACGATAGGGGCTATCTTCCTAATTATTTATGTCCCTTGACTCTCCCTTAATTTTTTCAATCCAAGGGCCAGAAATATACAGGGTATGTAGGGGTAGATAATAGGTGCGAGGAAATTACTTCCCATATTATCAATTAAAACTTTATCACATATAACTTGCCGCTGATTCTCGAGGAAATTTTGCGAGCCTGAAAAATCTATATAAAAGTTATGCGGCAATCGAGAAAGAACGTGTCCTATCAAGAGTAGTGAATTCATTAATATAAGAGAAGATCGAGTGAGACAAACCTGCTTGCTAACTATTGCTCCAATCTGACTGCCTCGAGGACGGCTATGGAAGTATTGATCAGATTCCTCATCAGAAACTTTCTGCACAGACCCTTCCACTCTCACCTGTAAGCCAAAGATGGTGTTATGAGACAATCTTCATACATGCAGATCATCAAAACAGCAATCCTCATCCAGTTTTTTTTTTTTTTTTTTTTTTTTATGTCAATAGCTAAAATATTTAGTAGAAAGCTAGAAAGTACAAACCAATGTAAGGCCAAAACAAAAGTAGGTTGACCTATGCATACAAGCACTATAGGCTCCGTATTCTAAAAGCATTAGCCACAAAGTGAAAAACACAGTTTACCTGCCGATTCAGGCCATCCCAGTAGAAAAGAAGAGATGCACGAGGATTTTCAGACAATTCATGTGCCTTTCGACTTTCATAGTTCGTGTACCTGCACAAATTAATACCATTGAATTAAGAATATTATAAGCATTTTCATTAATAACATAATCTGCCTTGTTGATATATGTACAGCCTCAATAATAACAGATGGATACTAACCAGACAAAACCGTTCTTATCAAATCCTTTGAGCAATACCATTCGTGATGAGCTGTAGCAGAAACTAATTTATGTTAACTATAACAGGTTATAATACATGCATGAGAAAAATCATTTTAATATCCAAAACAAAAAATGCAGAGAACAAAACTTTAGGGACTATGGTGAAAGCAATAAAATAGCCATGTATAACATGTAAGCATATATGAAACATAAGTTACTATTGATAGAAGAGACATAGTAACATAGGAAACAGATATTACATTTTTCCATTCTTGGTAGCCGTTGACAATGCCATAGCATTTGGTTCCCTCAATCCAGCAGCCACTACATCGTCGAACCATTTGCGGAACTGTAAAATAATTAAGGGCTTACTGTAAAAATGAGGGGCACCTTTTGCAACTAAATCTGACATAATTGAAACCAGCTAGACTTAAGACGCTGAACCTGTACCTGATCAAAGGGGTCAGCCTCCACCTGTTCCTCAAGAAACTCAGGAGAAATATAGTTCTCTCTTAGAGCTGATATATCAACTTGTGGGGGCCTTCCAATACGGACACACATAGAAGTGCCTGGATATGGTGGAAGGCGAAGCTTATATTTATCGGCAATAGATGGTGGGACAAATCTACCACCCAGAAAATGGTGTGGACCAAAAAATTTCTTTGCACACAACTTTGGAGCAGTCAGAGAAACCTGGAAAGTAGCAAGTTTGCATCAACAGGATGGCTTATTGTATATAAAGAAATACACATGTACATATAAATAGATATAAATTTTAAAGACAAATCGCAAAGTACAATCATTTGTAGCCAAGATTAGGTTGAGAGCTACTACAACATACCAACATGTCAGGCTTAATGCCTTCGACACCACCACCTCCTTCAACATGCCACCCAGATGGAATGTCTACGGAGACAATAACAGAAGACTTTTCGCGAGTTTGATCATATTTATTTACACAAACAAGCTTTTGGATCAGGTTATCAAAGGGAGGCCTTGGGGAACCTGAAGTATTACAAAGTATTGCAGTTAGAGATATCATATAACCCAACCAAAAATAAACCACAATCATCAACAAGTTAAGAATCTCTAATCAGGATGATAATTATTGAGTGGTTAGATGTCAGGGTCCTGCATAAATAAAAAGGAGCGAAGACTGATAAATCATTTGTTGAGTTGAGATTTTGTCGAAGGACTATGGCTCATCTGAGAAAATTGAGCAGTCAGATTTAATCTTAGGTTCCTATGTAGTTGAGCAAATTTGGTATTTTCTATGACAATTTAGGATAGAAATAACAACCCAGACATTATCTTGCCAGAGAGCAGGGCAATGTAATCTTAGGTTCCACTGTTCATATGTTTAGAATGTTAAGGATGTAAAGTATTTCCGACTTATCATGTCAGTTCTTATACTTGGACAACAATTGAAGGAGAATCAGAGTGATTGTGTCAACAAAATTGTATTGGCATCCTCACTACATAGAGAAACGTCAATTTGCCTAAAATAAAAAAGTAGTAATTACCATGGAATGAGAAACCGAACATTGCATCTACAATAATGTCAAAGTCCTTTGACAAGTCCAACGGCAGATCTTCTACTGAGATGAAGGGGACTGACAGTGATTCCAGCTGCAAAATAATCATTATGAGACAAATCCAACAGCCCCCATATATACATGTATCTATAATATAACCCCACATTCAAGAGTTTTTAACTTTGAGTTGTATTCCATACTTGCGTAACAAGACCAGCATAAAGAGGCTTAGCAGTACGCTTTGGATAACAAACAGACAGCTTATAACCAAAGTGATACAGGTGACGAGCAGCCACGAGACCATCACCACCGTTGTTTCCAGGGCCACAAATCACAAGGACTCGATTATACTCACTTGGTTTATAGACCTGCCAAATATATTAAGAAACAAATATGAAGCACCATATAACCCAAATGCAGTTCCTCAGTCACTCCTAAATGAACATTTTTTTGCACCTAGTAGCGTTGCAGAATACCCGGATGAAATAATCTACATTGCATCTCTCAACAGAAAGTAAATAAGTAAATTAACGATTACAGTTCGGCTGGGTAAATGGGCATGATCATCAACAACAATACGAACAATCAAAATAGTGCAGAAAGCCCAAAAACAAGAGGCATACGAATATCCGAAAACAATGAGTTCACATTCAATTAATCACAAAATACATTGAAAACTGCTAGGAAAGTGAAAAGCTTTACCTCTGCAATGGAAGTGGCCACGCTCAAACCAGCCAATTCCTACAAAATTAACAAAAACCCAGAATTGGGATTGTCAGTAAATGACTATGAACCCAACCCATCATACAAAAATTACTTTAAAAAGGAAAAGGGAGAGTGACTGACCATTAACTGGTCGACGCTGAAGCCGAGAGGACCCATGAGGATCTCATCGATCTCAGCAGCTTCACGCTGCGTCAGGTAGGATATATCCTCCGGATTCTGCATGCTGGGTACTGCGCCTACAGACCCAACTCCCGCTGCGCTGCTGGGGTTCGAACAAAACGCATGAATTGCAGGGCTCAGCACTGGTTGAAGAAAGGCCTGGAAATTTAACGATACAGATATAAATTTACTGAATTGTTGGTTCTAGAGAGAGAGAGAGAGAGAGAGACAGAGGGACAGACAGAGAAGTAAGAAGCTTACGGAGACATTGGAGAGAGGGTTGTAGAAAGAGGTGGAAGCGTTCGAAATGGGATTGGAAGTGAGTGATTGGGTAACTAACCCAAATTGGGTTAGGAAGATGACACGTGTCATTATTCTGGTTTTGCGTGCCAATGACAACATTGGACTGCAACCGCGACCGCGCCTGCGAGCAAAGCTTGTTTTCTTGGCAGAACTTCAACCACTTCTTCTTCAAGCTCTTGCTGGTGAGAGGAGAGAGTGTGCGTGCGAGTGTCGGGTTTTAGGGGCACAACATCTCTGAAATGACACATAGTTAACGGAAATAACCTAATATCTTAAACAAACCCTTGCTTTTGCCCCTTGGATCAGCGACAATCCCTCTTCTTTCCTCCTAGTGGTTGCTCAAACTCGAATCCTTGAATGTTGTAATTTTAAAGGACTTATAAATAGTAAGTTCGACATTTCATGCTTTTTGTCAACGATTGCGAGATCATCAGAGTGATGGGATTTTTCCTACGGTGCCTTTTAGTTCTTGTGAACGTAATCTTTTATGTCAGTTGGATTTCAATTATTTGTGGCTAAGCAATTATACTGTATTATTGAAAAGTTTGTAATTATGAAATTATAGTGTTTCTTTTAGCGTTCGTGGCTTGAATATTGAGTTCTTAGTTATAGTTGTGTAATTTTAGAGTCAAAACATGACATATTATAATATATTGGGTCATTTGAGATAAATTGTAAATGGGGATACTCCAATGATACACTTCCAAAAAAATTATAACAACATTCTACGTAGAAACTAATTTGGCTTAAAATCAATATATAATATCCACAAAAATACGTAGGACTTTGTTTTGCTGCAAAGATTAAGAGTCTTTCTCCGCCAATATGTTCTGAATCTTGTCGATGAAGTTCATCATCGTATCCAAACCCTTTTCGTCAAGTCTCGGAACAGTGTGGCCTTTTGGATGATGAATCACCGAAGCATCTACACAGTGTTCCAACAGTTGAAGCCCGTACGGCTTCAAGAAATCCATCTCCCCTGCAACACATATAACACACTCGTAAATAATCCACAGACGAACACCTTAAGGCCGTAGATGATTTTAGATATTAAGTGGAGGATAGACCGTCCACGATGTATAACCCATAAATGAAGGGAAACAATGGAAACGGAAAATGCGACCAACCAACTAATTAAATTCATTTAATAACATTACAAATTTGGCCAGGTTTTGCAATAATATGTTACTCCTGCTAATTGTTGGGTAAGGAAATGTGTCACACTCACACCCAGCCAACCAACTAATTAAAACCGTATGCAGAAGCCAACGATTTTGAACCGTTAATTGAAATAAGTCCTATAAAATATAAGAATTGACAAATTAATAAAATCCGAGTCCACACGCCTAACCGATTCTAGATAATTAATTAAAACAGGTCCTACAATATAAAACCCATCAAACCAATAAATTCGAGCGACTTTGAACCTTGATTGATTTTGTACCTAACAAAAGTTATTTGTGCTTCGAAAATTGAGCAAATAAATGGAACGAAATATACCTAAGAAGTGAAGGGACGGGCACTGAATGGGAGACGAATAAGCATCCTCAGCCACTGCCGGTGAGTTAAATTTCGCGCCTCCGATTATTATCAGGAATTTAATTTTGGGAGCTTTAGTCAATGCCACACCCTGCAACCAAACCAAAACGACACCGCCACAATTCCCTCGTCACCTTTCATTTCTTTAAATTATATTAAAAACTTGAATTATTTGCTTCTTTTCTATCTACCTTCGCTTGCAGCCCCGGCAGCCCCGCCGACAGTATTGCTCCCTGCATTGATTCATCAATACCTACTTAATACATTACTGTAAATTATAACCGACTTATAGCTCAAGTGCTTAAAAGCGTTAATAAATACCTGGGAAAAACCAACAAGGCCATCGAACGGTCCCTGTTTAATCATGTAATCTTCTATGTATTCCAGACACTTATCAAAGTTCGTGTACGCTGAAAATTCCTGTAAAAAAAAAAAAAAAAAATTATATTCCACAAAAAGATTAAAAGAAAAAAAAAAGGCAGAACAAGAATCTGGGATTTGATTTTTTGTTTTTTACCTGGTTGAATTGGAACCACTCGTAATAAGGAGGATCGAAAATGCCGTCGACGTCGGATTTACCTTGGGCCGGAAAGGGCCCATCGAGATAAACCATGTCGAGCTTCTCGAGCACCGATTCCGGCCACTTGCCCACTTGCTTCCTCATTATTTCCCCGCTCGTTCGGAACCCATGGAGGCACAGAAACCTGGGCTTCCTCGAACACCCGCCGCCTTCTCCGCTTCCTTGGCTCCCCATGTTTTCTGCTGTTTTTCGGAGATAATAAGGAGAAGAAGAATATTCCGACCGGTCGACGAGGCTTTTGTTGTTCTTCTTGGCAGCTCCGGTAGTGTGGGAGGACGGATAGAATGCGTGTTGAATTTGGCTGGATTTAAAAGGAGCAGGTTGGAGGGCAGTTTTGACATTTACGACGTCGGGTGGAAATCTCCCTCGGTCAAATTCAATGTGAACGACCACGGTGTTTGATGTGGCAGATGATGTCATCGTCACGGGACAGAGAACGCAAAAGCTTTTATTTGACCCCGCGTGGGCAAAACCTACATGCCCGCTCTCCCATGTGTGCCACTGAAAAGGATGAACTTAAAATTATTAAATGGTCCTTAATATTTGGTTGAATTTCCATTGATGTCACTTATAAACTAAAGTTCATTTTTACATTTTGAATCCTATAGTTGTCTAATTTTTACAATCCCGTCCAGTAGAACGGCATGGTCGTTTACTAGTTGCACAAACCATGACATGGCTAGGGGCAATTTTGGCCTCCTAAATGGCCATAGCCCTCTAGATTTTTTTTTATTTTTTGTTATATTGTGAGGTGCAATAGTTTAGATTTCAAGATTTATATATACAATATAATTTGTAATGAAAATTTTATTTCATTTTTGATTTGTGAATTGTGATACTTGTTATCTGATTTAATTTCTTATCGACATTAATCAATCTCTAATCAACATGCTCCAAAAACAATCTTTAGGCGATGGCGGCATAATAGAGCTCGTCTTCCAATTGAATTAGGTTCACAACCCCAACAATCGCTATAGGGAAAGTCACATATTTAACCTTTTATTTTATTATTATTATTTTTTTAAATTGGACTTGTAACGTAGCTCATATTTGATGCACTAAAATGTAAGATTGACTAGATTTGGATCCGGCATGTGAGTCTGATAAAGGACAAGATTCATAACCTCTTGCTTGAGGTGGGTTACAAAGCCAGTCGAGCTTCTTTCTTGTTCGGGAGCTCTTTGCAGCTCCCTTTCGCCGATTTTATCATCAGATTTTCTCTTTTCAGCATATTTTTTTTCAATCACCTCTTCTTTGTTCAAGGTAATTCCCTCATTACCCTCCTCTCTTCGAATTTGAAACATGGGTTCTTTTATTTTTCTGAATCTAGGATACTAACCGAAAATTTGGTCTACAGTTAGCCTAAAATATGCTTGTTTGAGGTATTAAATTTGTTAATTATTGGTGAATATTGTAATATTCTTGTTTTTTATATGGATTTCCCCTTTTGATCATGATAAACTAATTATTTACAAAGAAAATTGAAGATAATTGAGGAAAAGAAGATTCAGCTGTTAATTAGCTGCATTTAAGTCCATTCCAATCCCATCTAGTATAGTGTTACACCAAATAATGGACTGAAATTGACACACTCCGATCCCAGCATCCTCTAAACACCAGGATGGGCATGTGCTGAGCGACACCCGAGGGTGACGAAGCCATTTTAACATGAATGCAAGGTATGAATAAAAAACGAATGTAAATAAATGTAAATTTAATTATAATAGAATATGCTAATGTGGAATGTATTCAGTGCATACAACCAATCAGGAATACTATAGAAGAAATCTTATAAAAATGTATGATTACAAAGAAATGGGTCTTACACCGAGAGGACTCGAGGATACCGAAATGGGAGTGCCGCAACATTGGGATTGTATGCCTCAATTCTAAGTCTTGAAGGGGGTGCAAAACAAAAGGTGAGTAGACCAAAGTTTATAATAATAAAACTAAGTAAAATCATTTTTCTTTTGAACATACTAACCCCTTGTTTTGATAATAGGTTTTTCTAAAAATTCTAACATGCCATAAAAAACCTTCGTAAAACATGTATATATATAAAACAGTGCTCAGTAACGGTAACATAGTTGCCCGAAGGCAAATTCATAAAATAGTGTGCTTAACTAGGGGTATCATAATCACCCGAAGGTATATCCATCACCCAAGGGTGAAGCTGTACGACACTAGGTTACGCCAGTGAAGAAATATGGTAGGTCTTATCACCCGAAGGTGAAGTTGTACAACTCTGGGTTACGCCAAAGAAGAAATATACATAACACACTGACACTAGCCGTTGCTAGTGAAGCTGGGAGTATGTCATAAAATATATCACTACTCATCAATTGTGTCCTATGGCCATAGACAAATACATACTCGTGTTGTGTGTATTTGCTATATGATTACCCACTAAGTAAGCACAAAAAACATAAATCATATTTCGAAACCATAGAAACTTTCTATCTCATGCATCATCATAAATCAATAACATGAAATCATTAAATCATACTCGTAAATCCATAATATCTCATAGGGCATAAAAGCAGTAGTTCGTAAACCTTTTATAAAATGTAAGTTCGATAAATCATAACTAATGCGTAAAACATATAATCATGAAATCATGCTTTCCGTGGATGCAAGCCTAGTATTTTAATAAAAATCATGCAATTGGAGAAAGGGTCCACTCACAAATACTCCGTCGTTGAAGAGCCGTGCAAACTAGATAGGATGTGGTCGCCACTAACAAAAGCACCTAAGCACATAAAGGGACCAATTGTAAAAACTTTACTAAAATGATAGAATTTGAGAAAACGGACGATGGATTCAGATTCGGAATGTTGAAAAACCTAAGTAGGGACCTCAAGTTCCCCTATGGGGGCACACCAAGTTGGGTCACAGGAAAGTTGGTTGGAAAAACGCCAAAACGGCAGTAGAGTACAGTACCTCCGGTAGAGGCACATGTGCTCCACACGCTAAGCACAACAGCCCCCCATGCACTACGAGCACAGGCATACTCGCCTTCCTCGGGATTCTAGCAGTTTTTCTAGATTTTTCCCCTAACTTCCAAAACTCATTCCGAGCTCGATACAACTCCAAATCGAGTGATTCAAGATCCTATGTAAATTTAGAAATGTTGGGAAGAGATATATACCCTTTTGAGACTCAACGAAGGTAGGAGCTCGTCGAAAAATTAACT